GGACTCTTACTTTGTGGTGGTAGAGTCCAGTCTTGGAATGAAGACGGAACCGCTGTACCTTTAATCCTGTTCCGGTCGTGGCTGGGGGCCTTGCTTGCGAGGGAAGCTCACGAAGCGAATCATGAAGGGGTGGCTGCCACACTGCTGCACACTAAAAGAAAGGCCTGGGTTGTGCAAGGTCGGAGGACAGTGAAGGTGGTCAACAGGTGCATCACTTGCAAGAAGCAAAGAGCCCGGCTGTGCAAGCAAGTGATGAGCGCTCTTCCTCGGGAACGTACCAGTAGAGCAAACCCATTCGAGTATACTACACTAGACCTCTTTGGACCCTTTGAAGTGAGGGACGCTGTTAAGAAAATGACCAAGAAAAAGGTCTGGGGAGTCGTGTATTGCTGCATGACTTCCAGAGCCGTCCATGCTGATCTCGTCGACGACCAGTCTTCTGAGAGCTTTCTTCAGGCCTACTCCCGGTTCACTGCTCTGAGGGGGCATCCCAAAAAGCTATGGTCAGACAGAGGCACAAACTTCTTGGGCGCCAGGCCTGCTCTGAGAGAGCTACACAAGCACCTGGCCTGTTTGCAGAAGGCATCCGTTGAAGACGAGGCTGCCAGAAATAGCACAGAGTGGCAATGGGACTTTCATCCTGCAGACTCGCCACACAGGAATGGAGCAGCAGAGGCAGCTGTCAAGCTCCTTAAAAGAGCTCTTAACAGTCTTGGCGGAACAACTGGCTGCTACACCTGGGGGGAGTTCCAGACCCTTCTCTACTCTGCAGCCAACTTGACTAATGAGCGACCCATCGACGCCAGGGCACAGGAACAAGAGGACTCAGTGGAGTACTTGACCCCTAACTCACTTATCCTGGGGCGCACCGGACAGGGAGGAGACATACACGGAATCGACATGGAAACCCGCTCTTGGCGCAGACTGAGGGCTGTCCAGGCTGGAGTCGACAGGTTCTGGCAGGACCAAACTTGTTCATACGACACAAGTGGCACCGAGCAGAGAGAAGTATCAAGGTTGGAGACGTAGTCTGGATTGCGGACCAGAACGCTCTAAGGGGGCAGTTCCGGCTCGGCCGGGTTGCTACAACATATCCAGACGAGAAGGGGGTTGTCCGGGATGCGGACATAACAACCTGCATGGGTCTTCCTGCTCACAAGGTTCCCAGGGCCCGGAGAAAGGACTCTACCATGCACATGACAATCGTCATTCGCAGGGATGTGCGGAGGTTGGTGATCTTGATTCCTGCTGAAGACCAAGAGGAGGTAAGATGAGTCCTCGCCATGGGTACCCAAAGACTGTGACTCTTTGTTCTTTGCTTAGCTAGCGGGTAACCCTGAGAGGCAACTGAGTGCTTCAAGGGCAAACCTACACTCAGTAGGAATGGTGGAAAGGAGGAAAAGTGGTGGAGCCTACCTACTTAGTTAATACATATTTGTTTGTAAATGCCTACAAAGACTGGACTTTAGTTTGACATTCTCACTGAGAGACTCAAGAGACTGTGCCCTCCTTGGATCTTCGATCAGTCGGCCAAATGGGAGGTGTTGAGACTTCTAGCTCACTCAGGAAAAGAAAAAAAAAGAAGAAAAAAAATATATAAATATACAAAAGAGAAGCAAATGGGTCTGATGTGTTCAATTAAATGGAGAACGAGTGATTTCTTTAAGTTTCTTAGATGCTCGGATATGTTACGTAATGTGCGCATGCGCAGCTTCACTAGAGACTTAAATTATGGCACCTGGTAATCATTTCACGACAGACAATCATCAGGAGCACACAGCCCGTTGGTATGTAACTGCGAACTACTCACAGTCTAGCATTAATTTTTAAGTCACTTATATGTTTGAGCACTGAACGTTTACCTCACTGTGTCGGTGTTAGTTGGCCGGGAGTAACTTGTAGCTCGCTGGGTGCGGTAGCTCAGCGACCCAGATGCTGTATAGCATTAGGCTATCATTATCAGCCATTTGCGTTGTGCTGATTGTTCAGAGCACTCTGCTGGTTTCTGGTGGCGGTGGTGATAGCGGTGGTTTGGTTCGGTGATCCATGGTGGAGCGCCGCGTTGTGTTGCGTTTGTGCGTGTGTGGGTCCTTTGGACGAGGCATGTGGTGGCATGGGTTCTGTGTCCTGTGGCAGCATCCGTGGCAACGGCGGAGTCGCTGTGCGCATGCTCCTCTGGTGCTAGGCATTCTGGGTGATGTAGTCAATGCTGTTTTAAGCCAGATTAGCCACATTTTTGATGGTGTTGTCGGCTTATTTGATTTTCATTATTTTCATTATTATTATTATATTATTTGAATAATATTTACATTATATATTTGAATAATATATTGTCATTATTTGTTTGTTGTAATTCAGGTTTATGACCTGTGGTCATATGATTTAAAATAAAATTAAGGACAAAACACGAGTCATGACATTGTGTGCTTCCTGGTGAGCCTTTTCGGAGGGCTAAATAATGGAAAATCCGAACAATAAGTTATAGCAACATGATACACTTTATGATGTTTAAAGGGATACTTCGGGATTTTTGCAATGAGGCCCTTTATCTACTTCCCCAGAGTCAGATGAAATTGTGGATACCTTTTTTATGTCTCTGTGTGCCTTTTGAAGGAATTTGCAAACTAGCAAAAGCGCAATTGCTAACTAGCATTAGTGCAATGACTGGAAGTCTATGGTATTCATTACGCTAACGCTAGTTAGCATTGGCTCGCAAAACTACCTGTAACTTCCTTCATATTGGACGCAGAGACATAAAAATGGTATCCACGAGTTCATCGGACTCATTGCCCAAATCCCGAAGTATCCCTTTAATATTTATTTAGTAGCTCCTCTACTCACCTAGTGTTAGGTAATCCATTGCACCTAGTTACCCTGTTACACACAAACCAACCAGGGCGCTCGTTCATAGTCATGGAAACCCGTCAGCTCAGACTCCCCACACCACACATACACTCGGGACACACAAATCCCGCCAAAATCCTGGTGGTGACCACATCTCTCAAGCCATGCATGTTTGGATCCCGGCTCATCATGCAATCTCCACACATGGAAGACTGGGAAACAGGCACAACCTGGCGCATGCAAATTCTGCACAGGGTAGACCAACAGGCGCAACCAACGGATCAGGTGGGGGGTGGCGAACATGACGACTTCACGACGACTTGCGGGCAGTGGGTTCCAAACAGCAATGACAAAACATTTAGACAAAAAAAACTAAATACAAATAATATACAGTATACCACCCAAAAGGGCACTTTGGAGACTGGATGGGCAAAGGGGCATGTGCTCTGCACAGGTAAAGCCCTATCTGTGCACATGCCTGGGTGGGTTGTAGGTTGATTCTGGTCAGAGATAGTGTGCTCAAAACCCAAAACTCATGTAAATTGTGACGACCTCAGTTACACAAATCTCACAAAACGCTGTTTTGGAATATACTGACTTTATGACCAAAATTATCCTACTTACACTTTTAGTCCATGTTGGCTCTGGAATTAATGATTGATTAATATCAATGACATTTATTTTTTTGCGTTCAGTTGCCCTTTAAAATCAGCACTACAGGTGTACTCTCGCTCTGAGGCAGGCAGTGGAATCTACAGTCTAAGGGTGTGTTCGTAAATTCACTCTGGAGTGCCAGAGTGGCTAAGAGTGCACCCTGGGCGTTCGTAAATTCAGAGCATTGTCAGATTGTCCGTTTGTAAATTCAGAGCGTTTAGCTCTCGGAGCAATCAGAGCGCACACTGGACGCTCTGGCTGAGAGTTGATCCAAGCGTTCTGACCTCACAACAGTAGTCAAACACCCAAGCTAACTGGCTAAAGTTGGCTAACTATCTAGCTACTCCCAGACACAAATGAGAGAACAACTCACTGACCATCTGGCTGTTTTCATGTTATCCAGAGCATTGGTGACTGTACCTGTGCTGCTGGTAACAATTTAATAGCGGGTTCATATTCAAAGGGTGTTGCGCGTTCGTAAATTAAATCAGTAATTCTGCGCTCTGGCACACTCAGACAAGAGTGCTCTGAAATCGGAGTAGTAAGCCAGGGTGAATTTACGAATGCACCCCAAGACTGCGTCCCAAATGGCACCCTTTTGATATAGTGCACTGTGTAGGGAATAGGGTGCCATTTTGGACGCTGAAGAAAAACACCTAGTCACTCTCTCGCTCTCACACACATTGATAATATTGTATTCATCTCTTTATTCCGACATTCTTCTGGTAACACAATAAAACAAACCACTGGTAAAGGAACAACATGAATTCACCAGTCATGATTTAGGTCATGTTCCAAACAGTTCAGTTTGTTAGGTTCCAAACTATTTAGTATTTTTGGTTCTGAACAGTTAAGTCAGCATTTCCCAAACTCTGTCTTGGGTACCCCAAGAGGTGCACAGCTGATTAAAATAATCAAAGCTTGATGATTAGTTCATTATTTTAAAATCAGGGCAAAAACCAAAATGTGCACCCCTTGAGGTCCCCAGGGTCAAGTTTGGGAAATGCTGAATTAAGTCATGTTCTAAACTGTTAGCTCTGTTAAGTTGTGGTCCAAATTAAATCTCAAGTCGTGTTCACAGTATTGTCTCACCACAAAGACTGAGGGATCAGGGTGTGAATATAAGTTAGTGTGGTGGCCTCCTGTTGCCTATCCCTGCACTAGGGGCTATCGACAGGGATCAACATGTAGCTGTAGTGCCCCCTGACTGTGGAGTTGTAGTAACAAGGTTGTGGGGGTTAGAGTGTACAGGGTCCAACATGTAGCTGTAGCGCCCCCTGACTGTGGAGTTGTAGTAACAAGGTTGTGGGGGTTATGGTGTAGGGGTTAGAGTGTACAGGGTCCAACATGTAGCTGTAGCGCCCCCTGACTGTGGAGTTGTAGTAACAAGGTTGTGGGGGTTATGGTGTAGGGGTTAGAGTGTACAGGGTCCAACATGTAGCTGTAGCGCCCCCTGACTGTGGAGTTGTAGTAACAAGGTTGTGGGGGTTATGGTGTAGGGGTTAGAGTGTACAGGGTCCAACATGTAGCTGTAGCGCCCCCTGGCTGTGGAGTTGTAGTAATAGCAGGAACTCTTCAGGCATTGCGTGCATTCTGCGGCTCGGACCCACATTGTCATAGTAATGATGGGGCAAAGGATTGTGGGATAGATCCAGAGGGAAGGGCCAGAAGCCGTACAGATGAACCTGAAAGACAGATAATAGAGACTTAGAAACACACACGCAGACGCACAACAAACAAAACACACACACCTACCTGTTCACAGATCTCCAAAGCAGTGCTGGCCAGCATCAGACCAGTAGAGAGCCGTCGGGCTCGTTGCCCGCGACGATGCCAGAACCTGCCCAGCTCAATCAGGTAGTCTGGGTGGAAGAACACCACTTTCTGTTGGGGGCGGGTCTTCTGGAGGGCGTGGTACACCTGGTACGGAACAAAGACTGATTAATGACATCATCACTATTTACTCTCCTCTCCCAGCCCCCTTCCTTCCCCAGCCCTCCTCTCCCCCAGGATCAAAATGTTAGTATTCAAATTTTTCATTCTTAAAAATGCTACCAAGACCGGCCCGTGGAATACTTATTGATGAAAAAATAGGCCCTTACCCGGGCCGGTTACCAGGGCTTTACCTAGTCTCATCTTGGACCAGTGGAGGCTGGTGGGAGGGGCTATAGGAGGACGGGCTCATCGTAATGGCTGGAATGGCATAAATGTAACGGTATCAAACAAGTCAAACATATGGAAACCACATTTGACTTCGTTCCATGTATTCCATTCTAGCCATTACAATGAGCCTGTCCTCCTACAGCTAATCCCACCAGCCTCCACTGTCTGGGACTCACTAAAAACACGCCACTGATGCAGCTACGACCGGAAGTGACTTTTTGAAGCAGGTTAGGAAAGCATTTTTCGCTAACCATAACCCTTTTCCTAACCTTAACCTAATTCTCCTAACCTGCTACGTGAAGTCTCCTAAGTTCTCCTAACCTGTCACAAAAAAGTCACTTCCGGTCATAGCGGTTTCCAAGTGGCGTGTTTTTAGGGAAACTTATTTCCCCGCCTTCTCATTTCATGGTAGCAGCTCACCTTGAAGCAGGGGGCGGTCCCAAAGGCAAAGGAGAAGGCTGGGAGAAGTAGATGGGCGTGGCCATAGACTGACAGGACTTCTGTCAGGGGTCCAGGGTTCCGCTGGAGGTCAGGGTACCTGAGGACAGGGGAGGGGAGGAGACAGGTGAGGGGCGGAGGTAGGAGAAAAGTGAGGGGAGGAGTTAGTGGCAGTTGATGTTAGTGGCAGTTGGACAAATGTGTAAAATCGACTTGACGTCAAGAATCAATTTGAGTTTGTGAAATCATGTTGAACAAGTGTGAGGCAGAGACAGGCGAGTACTGATCATGTATAATGATGGTGAGTATTGATAATGTATAGATTGTTTAAAAAAAACATCACAATATGGTGCAGAGCGTTCGATTTGGCTGCTGGGGGGCAAGGAGGCCCCCAGCTATGCTAAAACCATTGATAACTCATGCCATTTACAAGGGATTGTTAAATACATTTTTGAACTACACTGTATTTGGTCACATCTTGAAGAGCATAGTCAGAACTACATATTTCAGATTATTCCAAATTTAGCGCTATCATCAGAGTTATACAGCAAGTAACTGCATGCTTTTCATGATCAGTAAACATCAATTGATCAAGTATGTTCAGATATGTGAGGGTTGCCTATCCATTTGGCATGTATCTAGCTAAGCAAAAAATTTGTCATTTAGCTTGCTTCATCAGAGATTAGGCTTTTGGAAAGTCCTCGTCTTGGTGAAGCTGTCAGTCGGACTACTGTCATCACCACTATAGATGGCAAACAAATACAGCCATCTAGTTTATTCCCAGAAAGTTAGCTTGTTAACTAGCCATATTGACGTGATCTGTTATTAGCTAGCTAGCCAATTTGACATGGTCCATCACTCAATGTAGTACAGTGGGGAAAAAAAGTATTTAGTCAGCCACCAATTGTGCAAGTTCTCCCACTTAAAAAGATGAGAGAGGCCTGTAATTTTCATCATAGGTACACGTCAACTATGACAGACAAATTGAGAAAGAAAAATCCAGAAAATCACATTGTAGGAATTTTTATGAATTTATTTGCAAATTATGGTGGAAAATAAGTATTTGGTCACCTACAAACAAGCAAGATTTCTGGCTCTCACAGACCTGTAACTTCTTCTTTAAGAGGCTCCTCTGTCCTCCACTCGTTACCTGTATTAATGGCACCTTTTTGAACTTGTTATCAGTATAAAAGGCACCTGTCCACAACCTCAAACAGTCACACTCCAAACTCCACTATGGCCAAGACCAAAGAGCTGTCAAAGGACACCAGAAACAAAATTGTAGACCTGCACCAGGCTGGGAAGACTGAATCTGCAATAGGTAAGCAGCTTGGTTTGAAGAAATCAACTGTGGGAGCAATTATTAGTAAATGGAAGACATACAAGACCACTGATAATCTCCCTCGATCTGGGGCTCCACGCAAGATCTCACCCCGTGGGGTCAAAATGATCACAAGAATGGTGAGCAAAAATCCCAGAACCACACGGGGGGACCTAGTGAATGACCTGCAGAGAGCTGGGACCAAAGTAACAAAGCCTACCATCAGTAACACACTACGCCGCCAGGGACTCAAATCCTGCAGTGCCAGACGTGTCCCCCTGCTTAAGCCAGTACATGTCCAGGCCTGTCTGAAGTTTGCTAGAGTGCATTTGGATGATCCAGAAGAGGATTGGGAGAATGTGATATGGTCAGATGAAACCAAAATATAACTTTTTGGTAAAAACTCAACTCGTCGTGTTTGGAGGACAAAGAATGCTGAGTTGCATTCAAAGAACAACATACCTACTGTGAAGCATGGGGGTGGAAACATCATGCTTTGGGGCTGTTTTTCTGCAAAGGGACCAGGACGACTGATCCGTGTAAAGGAAAGAATGAATGGGGCCATGTATCGTGAGATTTTGAGTGAAAACCTCCTTCCATCAGCAAGGGCATTGAAGATGAAACGTGGCTGGGTCTTTCAGCATGACAATGATCCCAAACACACCGCCCGGGCAACGAAGGAGTGGCTTCGTAAGAAGCATTTCAAGTTCCTGGAGTGGCCTAGCCAGTCTCCAGATCTCAACCCCATAGAAAATCTTTGGAGGGAGTTGAAAGTCCATGTTGCCCAGCGACAGCCCCAAAACATCACTGCTCTAGAGGAGATCTGCATGGAGGAATGGGCCAAAATACCAGCAACAGTGTGTGAAAACCTTGTGAAGACTTACAGAAAACGTTTGACCTGTGTCATTGCCAACAAAGGGTGTATAACAAAGTATTGAGAAACTTTTGTTACTGACCAAATACTTATTTTCCACCATAATTTGCAAATAAATTCATTACAAATCCTACAATGTGATTTTCTGGATTTTTTTTTCTCAATTTGTTTGTCATAGTGTGTGTACCTATGATGAAAATTACAGGCCTCTCATCTTTTTAAGTGGGAGAACTTGCACAATTGGTGGCTGACTAAATACTTTTTTCCCCCACTGTATATCATGTCTGTAAGCAGCAATCGTGATTAAAGACTTAAAACAATGTTGAAAAGGAGATAGCTAACTTCGCTAGGTAGGCCTATGTTGGTTGGAGAAAAGTACATTAAGTCTACTTCAACTATGTTTAGCCAACTGTAAAAAGTTTCCATCGGTAGCTTGCAAAGTAAACATTATCAGCTAATAGTACATTGGCAAATGCGCCCTTCTGCTGAATGACAGGTAGAGCCCACAAAGGATGGGAAATTAACCTAAACCACTCACACTTGTCGGGTATATTTCACTTTAATTCTATTTCAAGTCAAATTGTATTGGTTGCGTTCACATATTTTGCTCATGTTTCTAGCTCCAACGGTGCAGTAATAGCTAACAATACACACAAATCCAAAAAATAAAAACAGAAATCAAGAAATTCCAGAACGATCATTGTCAGAGTCAGGAATATATATACCCACTGAACAAAAATATAAACGCAACATGTAAAGTGTCTGTCCCATGTTTCATGAGCTGAATTAAAAGATCCCAGACATTTTCCATAAGCACAAAAAGCTTATTTCTCTTACATTTTGTGCACACATTTGTTTACATCCCTGTAAGTGAGCATTTCTCCTTTGCCAAGATAATCCATCCACCTGACAGGTGCACATATCAAGAAGCTGATTAAACAGCATGATCATAACCTTGTGTTTGGGACAATAAAAGGCCACTCTAAAATGTGCAGTTCTATCACACAACACAATGCCAACTATGTCTCAAGTTTTGAGAGAGCGTGCAATTTGCATGCTGACTGCAGGAATGTCCACCAGTGCTGTTGTCAGATAATTGAATGTTCCTTTCCCTACCATAAGCTGCATCCAACGTTGTTTTAGAGAATTTGGAAGTCTGTCCAACCGGCCTCACAACCATGGACCACGTGTAACCGTGCCAGCCCAGGACCTCCACATACGGCTTCTTCAACTGCGAGATCGTCTGAGACCAGCCACCCGGACAGCTGAAGAAACTGAGTAGTATTTCTGTCTGTCATAATCCCTTTTATGGCAGAAAACATATTCTGATTGGTTGGGTCTGGCTCTCAGGTGGGTGGGCCTGGCTCCCAAGTGGGTGGGGTTTGAGTGTGTGAAGAACTGCAACGCTGCTGGTTTTTTCATGCTCAACAGTTTCCCGAGTGTATCAAGAATGGACCACCACCCAAAGGACATCCAGCCAACTTGACAATTGTGGGAAGCATGGGAGTCAACATGGGCCAGCATCCCTGTGGAATGCTTTCATCACCTTGTAGAGTCCATGCCCCGGCGAATTGAGGCTGATCGGAGGGCAAAAAGGAGGAGCAACTCAATTTCAGGAAGGTGTTCCTAATGTTTTGTACTAATGTATGTACACTACATGACCAAAAGTATGTGGACATCTGCTCGTCAAACATCTCATTCCAAAATCATGGGCATTAATATGGAGTTGGTCCCCCCTTTGCTGCTATAACAACCTCCACTCTTCTGGGAAGGCTTTCCACTAGATGTTGGGACATTGCTGCAAGGACTTGCTTCCATTCAGCCACAACAGCATTTGTGAGGTCGGGCACTGATGTTGGCCGATTAGGCCTGGCTCGCAGTCGGTGTTCCAATTCATCCCAACGGTGTTCGATGGGGTTGAGGTCAGGGCTCTCTGCAGGCCAGTCAAGTTCTTCCACACCGATCTCGACAAACCATTTCTGTATGGACCATCACTTTGTGCACGGGGGCATTGTCATGCTGAAACAGGAAAGGGCCTTCCCTAAACTGTTGCCACAAAGTTGGAAGCACAGAATCTTCTAAAATGTCATTGTATGCTGTAGAGTTAAGATTTCCCTTCACTTG